TGAGCACCCCAGTGCCTCCCCAGCCGGGCCTTCGGGGTGTGGGACACAGCAGGCCTGCGTGAGCACCCCAGTGCCTCCCCAGCCGGGCCTCTCAGGGTGTGGGACACAGCAGGCCTGCCTGAGCACCCCAGTGCCTCCCCAGCCGGGCCTCTCAGGGTGTGGGACACAGCAGGCCTGCGTGAGCACCCCAGTGCCTCCCCAGCCGGGCCTCTCAGGGTGTGGGACACAGCAGGCCTGCCTGAGCACCCCAGTGCCTCCCCAGCCGGGCCTTCGGGGTGTGGGACACAGCAGGCCTGCCTGAGCACCCCAGTGCCTCCCCAGCCGGGCCTTCGGGGTGTGGGACACAGCAGGCCTGCCTGAGCACCCCAGTGCCTCCCCAGCTGGGCCTTCGGGGTGTGGGACACAGCAGGCCTGCCTGAGCACCCCAGTGCCTCCCCAGCCGGGCCTCTCAGGGTGTGGGACACAGCAGGCCTGCGTGAGCACCCCAGTGCCTCCCCAGCTGGGCCTTCGGGGTGTGGGACACAGCAGGCCTGCGTGAGCACCCCAGTGCCTCCCCAGCCGGGCCTCTCAGGGTGTGGGACACAGCAGGCCTGCAAGTCTCTGCTCTCTGATGGCCTTGGTTCTTGGGAATGGAGAGAGGGGCCTGCTCTCAGGCACCAGGACGCAGGGAGCACTGAGGGCCACCTGCAGATGAGCAGAAGACAGAAGAATGTGAGCAGGCCTCCGACCTGTCAGGTAATGTTGAGTGGTCAGAGTTTACGGAGACACAGAACTAAAAGATTAAGTTTAGGGCAGACATTTGGCAAAACAGTGAACATATTGTTTGGGCCGCTCACATATTCTGTTGGAGTCCCTGGGTTCAAGGCCTGGCTTATTTCTATCCATGCGGAAGACCAAATGGAGCTCCTGACTCCGGGCTTTGATCTGCCTCAGCCTTGGCTGTTGGTGGCCATTTTGGGAGTGAACCAGGGGTTGGGAGTTTCTCTGCCTTTCAAATAAAATAAATTTAATAGTTCAAACTGGATAAAATTTATTTTGCTGCAAAAATATTTGAAATTATGCAGTTTTTTTTTTTTAAGATTTATTTATTTGAAAGGCAGAGTTAGAGAAGGGAAGAGCTACAGAGAGAGAAAGAGTAAGCTTTTATCCACTGATTCACTCCCCAGGTGGCCATAACGGCCTGGGCTGAGTCAGACCAAAGCCAGGAACCAGGAGCTTCATCAGGTCTCCCATGTGGGTGGCACATGCCCAGGCACTTGAACCATCTCCCGCTGCTTTTCCCAGGCCTTTAGCAGGGAGCTGGATTGGAAGTGGAGCTGTCGGGACACAAATCAGTGCCCGTATTGGATGCTGGTGTCACAGGTGGCAGCATTATCCACTACACTACAGTGCCAGCCCCTGTGTTGTTTTTGTAATATTTATTTTCCATGAACTTTTTGAAGACTCCATGTATGCATGGACTTTTTAAAAAAAATTGCACCAAATAATCAATTTTCCATGACTCTTTAAAAAATACCCTTGCATGTGTTTAATTGAAGTCCCAGGAAAGAGGGAGAGAAGCGAAAAATATTTGAAGTAATCATGGCTAAAGTTTTCTAAGTTTGGTGAATTATATAAGCTCACGGCAGCTCTAACAGTGAACTCACAGATGGGACGTTACTACCAAAGTGATGACCAGTGATGAACAGAGGAAGGGGCTGGTGCTGTGGTGTAGCAGGTTAAGCCTCTACCTGCAGCACCAGCATCCCATGTGGGTGCTGGTTAAACTCCTGGCTGCTCCACTTCTGATCTAGCTCCCTGCTATGGCCTGGGAAAGCAGTGGAAGATGGCCCAAGTGCTTGGGCCCCCGCACTCATGTGGGAGACCTGGAAGAAGCCCCTGGCTCTTGGCTTTGGATCAGCACAGCTCCGGCCATTGTGACCATTTAAGTAGTGAACCTGTGGTTGGGAGACCTCTCTCTGTCTCTCCCTCTCTCTCTAACTGCCTCCTCTGAAATGAATAAATGAATCATGAAAAACAAAATGAAACTAATTCTTTAAAGCAACAGAAAAAAAGACTTCACATACACAAGTGAACGAAGATGAGATGACAACGAATTCCTTGAAGAACGCAAGCACTTAGTACAGCTTCAGGATACATGCGGTAGGGCCCTACACCACTTGGGATGGCTGCCTTCCCTATCGGTGCCTGGTGTGAGTCCTGGCTCCGCTGCTCATTCCTGCTGTGTGACATTGTGCGCCCTGGGAAGCAGCATGTGACGGCTGACGTGCAGTCCCTGACAACAGTGTGGAATGGAGTTGTAGGCTCTTGTTTGCAGCCTGGCCCCAGTCATGAGTAGAGGGTTTTTGGGGAAAGGACCCAGGGAATGGAAGAAATTTCCCCTCCTTAGCTTTCCAAAAAAGAGCAAAGTAAAAAATGGGAGGCGGGGACTGTGGCATAGCGGGTAAAACCACTGCCTGCAGTGCCAACATTCCATATGGGTGCTGGTTAGACTCTCGGCTGCTCCACTTCTGATCCAGCTCTCTGCTATGGCCTGGGAAAGCAGTGAGAAGATGCCCAATTCCTTGGGCCCCTGCACCCACGTGGGAGACCCGGAAGAAGCTCCTGGCTCCTGGCTTCGGATTGGCATAACTCTGACTTTCAAAAAATTAAATAAATCTTAAAAAAAAAAAAAGTAGGGGCTGGCACTGGCACAGCGGGTTAAAGCCTTGCCCTGAAGTGCTGGCATCCCATATGGGCACCGGTTCTAGTCCTGGCTGCTCCTCTTCCAATCCAGCTCTCTGCTGTGGCCTGGGAAGGCAGTAGAAGGTGGCCCAAGTCCTTGGGCCCCTGCACCCACGTGGGAGACCAGGAAGAAGCTCCTGGCTCCTGGCTTTGGATTGGTGCAGCTCTGGCCGTTTTGGCCACCTGGGGAGTGCATCAGTGGATGAAAGACCTCTCTCTCTACCTCTCTCTGTAACTCTGACTTTCAAATAAATAAAAAAAAAGTAAGAATATTCATGAAGCAAAAACTGGAAGAACTGGAGAGAGATTTCGGCATATAACTAGTTTCAACATGCCTTGGAAGCCGATTGACAGATCAGTAAGGGTGCATATTGAACATAGTCACCAGCATGAACTGGTTTGTGAAACACCTAGCTTGGTTAAGTGTACATTTTTTTTTAAAGATTTATTTATGTGAAAGTCAGAGTTACACAGAGAGAGGAGAGGCAGAGAGAGAGGTCTTCCATCTGATGGTTCACTCCCCAGTTGGCCACAACGGCCGGAACTGCGCCGATCTGAAGCCAGGGGATAGGCACTTCTTCCGGGTCTCCCACACGGGTGCAGGGGCCCAAGGACTTGGGCCATCTGCTGCCTTCCCAGGCCACAGCAGAGAGCTGGATTGGAAGTGGAGCAGCCGGGTCTCAAACTGGCGCCCAAATGGGATGCTGGCGCTTTAGGTCAGGGTTTTAACCCGCTCTACCACAGCGCCAGCCCCAAGCGCATGTTCTTGTCGCTTGCTTGCTACTAATCCCTAAAACAGACCATATGCTGGCTATAAGTCTCAAGACATTGAAAAGGATTGAATCCGTAGAGAGTATATTCTCTGACCACAACACAATTAAATTAGGAATTGGTGACAGAAAGACTTGGAAAATCCCAGATAATCAGAAGTTAACACTTTTAAGTAACCTGTGGTCAAAGATGAAGCAAGGAAAACAAACTCGAGGGACTGAGACTTAGTACCCAGCCACAGGAATCACGACCGTGAGGCGCTGATGAGAGAGCGGGTCTGTTCCCTCGAATGTAGTGGGCTAGTGTCTGAGGAATGAACAGGAAACTCCATGGAGAAAGCACAGACTTTCCAACAGCCGCTGCTGGGGCAGCTGGACATCCACGTGCAAAAATGAGTCTAGACAGACCTTACGGCCTTCATAAAGTAGCTCACAGTGGATCACAGACCTAAATGCAGAATACAAAATTACAGGATTTCTGGAAGATGACACTGGAAGAAACCTAGGTGACCTTGGATTTGATGACAACTTTTTAGATGCACCACCAAAGGCCCAAACCGTTAAAGAAAACATTGATAAGTTGCACTTAAAACTGAAAATTTCTGCTTTGCAAAAGGTGTGTCAAGAGAATGTAAAGCCGCGGACCAGGAGGAAATAACTGCACAAGATGTGACTGCTAGGGCCTGTGGGGCCCCAAGGGATGCGCAGCCATGGAGCCCCCACGTCAAGGTCGGTCTGATAGCTGTTGCTGTGTCTTTATCACAAGGCGGATGTTGCTAGTTTCGGTTAGGGCAATGCTTTCCCACGGTCGGGACTTTCCAGAGGAGTTGAGAATGTTGTAAACAACAAGATGGCACCGAGGACCGTGCGGTGAGCCTGCCTGCTGTGTGACACCTCATCTGATTGGCCCGAGAACGCGTGCACACTGCGTGAACAGACAGCAGATTGGAGTGTTCCGTGCATGGACTTGAGCCCGCTTGCAATTGGCCAGATTTTGTATATAAGCTATGTGCTGAGGAAGGAGGGGGCTTTTCTGTCCACTCTCCTCCCTTCATTCTTTCTCTGTCGCTGTTATTTTCCCATTAAAAGTCTGCTGAAGACCGATAAGCTGCGAACAGTGTCGTTCCTTTGCGGGCAAGGGAGCGGCAGGGCCGGTGTTGTAGAGCCATGGTTCCACTGCCACCTGCAGAGCTGGCGTCCCGTCTTGGAACACGGGCTCAAGTTCTGGCTGCTCTGCTTCTGATCCAGCTTCCTGCCTATGCACCTAGGAAGGCAGCAGAAGATGGCCCAAGTACTTGGATCCCTGCCACCAAGGGAGACCCACGTGGAGTTACAGACTCCTGGCTTCAGCCTGGCCCAGCCCTGGCTATTGTGAACATTTGGGGAGTGAACCAGCAGATGGAAGATCTCTCTGTCTCTCCCTCTGCTTTTCAAATAAGTAAATAAGTTTTTTTTTTAAAAGATATATCTGATAGTTTTAGTATCTGAAAAGACTTGAAATTCAGCAATAAGAAAAATGGGCCAAAGACCTCACCAAAGAAGACACACAGATGGCACAAAAGCACACTATGTGCTCCCCAATTGGAAAACTAAAGAGAAAGATACTCTACCTTTATATTCATCTGAGGAATGCAGATTAAAACCATGAGCTGTTGTGGTACTCCTGTTACAATGGCCAGGTCGAGAACACTGACAAGACCAAATGTTGATGAGTAATGGGAGCTGTCATTGCTGGTGGGAGTGCAAAGTGACACAGCCGCTCTGGAACAGTCTGGTGGTATCTGAACCTCAGATACCACCTGTGCACTGTGGGCATCGGACTTCCATGCCTGGCGGGGTCAAGGGGTGGGAGGGGCCCGGCCAGGGCCGGGCAGTGACCTCACAAGGCCGCGGAAGGCAGGGCAGCTGTGGAACTCTGTGGTCTCAGGCTGTTTCTGGAGGATCTGCGGGCCCTGGATTTCCATCTCGATGGGGCCGCAGGCCCACCCCTGAGCACCCAGGGCTCAACATGGCTGAGGGGAGCGAGCTGATGAGCAGGCTCATGAGCGAGAACGCAGACCTGAAGAAGCAGGTGCGCCTCCTGAAGGAGAACCAGATGCTGAAGAGGCTGCTGAGCGAGAGCTGCCAGGAGACCTGCGGCCGCGGGGGCCGGGACCTCCTCTTCCCCAAGGCCTCCGCCTACCCCGAAGCCTGCTCCCCCGTGAGCGGAGGTGAGGCTCGGGCTGGGCACCGGGGGTGTGGAGGAGGCCTGCTCCCTGCAAGAGCGTCCTGTGCTCAGGTCTGGCAGGCCAAGGCCCGAGGGCCCTCTCTGCCACATCCTCGGGGAAGGTCCTGCTCTCTGTGCCACTGGGTCTGCACCTGGAACCTAGTGGAGTGCTAGCCCTCGGCCGGGGTGGCCTGGAACTGGCGGTGCGTGGGCTCTGCAGGGCGCCTGTGCAGCGCGAGTGGGCAGGGGAGTGAGCTGGAGCCGTGGCCTGTTCACCAGCCAGGTGGACTCCAGCCTTCGAAGGCTTTTTACAGAGAACCTAGGGTTTCATCACTTTCTGCAGAAGTAGTTGGCTCTGGTGAAAAAAAAAAACCTGCTAAGAACAATAAATTAATAGGTTACAGGAGCCAGCACTGTGGCAATGTGGGTAAAGCTGCTGCCTGCAGTGCCGGCATCCCATATGGGTGCCGGTTCGAGTTCTGGTTTGCTCCACTTCCGATCCAGGTCTCTGCTATGGCCTGTGAAAGCAGTAGAAGATGGCCCAAGTCCTTGGGTCCCTGCACCCACATGGAAGACCTGGAAGAAGCTCCTGGCTTCTGGCTTCAGATCAGCGCAGCTCTGGCCGTTGCGGCCAATTGAGGAGTGAACCAGCAGATAGAAGATAACTCTCCCTCTTTCTCTCTCTGCTTCTGCCTCTCTGTATCTCTGCCTTTCAAATAAATAAATAAACCTTTAAAAATAAGATACAAAACAAATAAATAAACTGCAGTTGCATTTCTATATACTAACAATGAACCATCTAAAAAAAGGAAATTAACAGAATG